AGTGAAACTCCGTCTCAAAAAAAAAAAAAAAAAAAAAAAATTAAAAAGGATTAGGTACCTCTTCACAGTAGCAATTTATTTCTTCCTCCATTTCTTGCTTTCAGCACATAAGTGTCTCATTTTCATGACTTGCTCATGGAGCCTGACTTAGAAAGTCTTACATATAATTTTTATTGCTCTTTCTTTCCTCTGCTCATTCGTGTAGATTTTGACATTAAGGTTACTCTTATTTTATTGGCTGACTACTCATTAAGTTCCATGCAAAAATCCAAACTGCACAGCCATGTGCAAAAGATGCACATGTATGATTCAAGGTCTAAATTTAGGAAAGAGTTTATAAGACTATAAAATTATCCTAAACCAAAGTTCTCTATAAAAGGTTAAAGCTTTACTATCAAATGACCAAAAATGAAAAATAAAAAAATAAAGTTCTCAAGGTAGCTTTAAAATTAAGAATAATTTCAAATACGTAAGGTGAAAAAAAAGTTAAAAGACTTACCTCTGTTGGTAATGAACAGACTGAGGAAATAAGAAGAAAACAGATTTGAAATGTTAAACCTATATGTACACACATACATAAGACTTACCGTTACTTTTATATTTGAGAAAATGCTTCATTTTTACATTTGTCCTATAAGTTTTCTGTATCACTTTTCAAATGCTACTCTTCAGTGTTTTTGAGGTAAGAGGCACATGGTTATTTGAGATGATACTATCTTGATTTTTTTCATGTAAAGAGTGTCTCCATCAGTTGATGGAACATCAAATTATGCTATTTTGTATATAATGAGGTCTTACCATGACCATTTCAGTGGGTCAACAATTATGCTAAGACAGAAACAATTCCCCATACAACAGAGTTTGAAGAAAACTGGTTCTTTCTTTCCTTTTTTTTGAGATACGGTCTTGCTCTGTTGCCCAGGCTGAGGTGCAGTGGTGAAATCATGGCTCACTGTAGCCTCCACCCCCTGGGGCTCAAGTAATCCTCCCACCTCAGCCTCCCAAGAAACCAGGACTATAGGTGCACACCACCATGCCCAGCTAATTTTTTTATTTTTTGTAGAGACAAGGTATCACCATGCTGCCCAGGCTGGTCTCAAACTCCTGGGTTTAAGCGATCCAGCTACCTTAGCTTCCCAGAGTGCTGGGATCACAGGCGTGAGCCTCTGTGCCTGGCCTGGTTATTTCTTTTGATAGTTTTGTCAAAACAGCCACTACTTTTTATTCATACGAACACATTTATAAACAGTAGCACTTTTACTATCATCTTTTTACAATATATTTTTCGTTTTTTGTTGTTGTTTTTTAAGAGTCAGGGTCTTACTCTATCATCCAGGCTGGAGTGTGTCTATGACTCACTGCAGCCTCAAACACCTCAGCTCAAGTAATCCTCCTGCTTCAGCCACCCAAGTAGCTAGGACTACAAGTGTGAGCCACTATGTCCAGCTAAGTTTTTTATATTTTTGTAGAGACAGAATCTCACTATGTTGCCAAGGCTTTTTCACGTCATGCTACTTAAGATCATGAAAGTGTAAAGCTAGAAGGAACCTTGGTTCAATCTTGTCATTTGGTGTCAGAGCCTGTACGGGCTATAATGAACTAGAAGAAATGAAATGGCTTCCAAGTTTTAACTGTAATTCTAATACTGGGTCAACTGCTTATTTTGTTTTTATTTTTAAGGTTTAGAATGGAGTAGTTCAATGTGTCCAATATCCTGAGATTTCTAAGGGAGAGGAAGGTGGTATACCAGGTAATCACAGCAGTTACCACACACTGGGCACTTAGTATGTGTCAAATGCTTTGCTATGCCTTCTATCCGTTACTATGTTTAACTGTCACAACCTTGTAAGATAAGAAGTACCGTATCTATTTTCAGATGCTGAAAATGAGGCTTAGGTGTGTAACCACTTACATCTGGATAACAGAATTTTAACCTGCCTCTTTCTGACGCGCTGTTAACCACTAACTGAGATTACACAAAGTAAACAAGCAACTTAGCGTCACCAGACAGCTGAAAATGATCTACCTTCACCTTATCCTACTAACGTTCTACCATGCTACCACACAATCACTGTTTTATAGATGGGGCACTAAAAAAGTTAAATAGTTCATCTAGTGAAGAAGGTGGTATGTGGCAGAAGAAAACTGGAATCTGGTTGTTCTGTCCAGTCTAGTCTATTATAGTTCAGGGTTCTTTCCACCAAAGATCTCCCTGGTTAGCTACAGCCCTTTATTCCTCACTGTTCAAGTTCAAATACTAGGCACAGCTGTTTAGCCATACTTTCAGAATATAACTATATAATTATAGGTTAAGGCTGGGTACAGTGGCTCATGTCTGTAATCCCAGCACTTTGGGAGGCTGAAGCGGGCGGATCACCCAAGGTCAGGAGTTCAAGGCCAGCCTGACCAACATGGAGAAACCCCATTTCTACTAAAAATACAAAATTAGCCAGGCATGACTGATGGTACATGCCTGTAATCCCAGCTATTCAGAAGGCTGAGGCAGGGGGATAATCATTTGAACCTGGGAGGCAGAGGCTGCAGTGAGCCGAGATCGCACCATTGCTCTCTAGCCTGGGCAACAAGAGTGAAACACTGTCCAAAAAAAAAAAAAAAAACTGGCCTCACAGTGGCTCACGTCTGTAATCCCAGCACTTTGGGAGGTCGAAGCAGGTGGATCACCAGATCAAGAGATTGAGACCATCCTGGCCAACATGGTGAAACCCTGTCTCTACTAAAAACACAAAAATTAGGTAGAGAGATCCAAGATGGCCAATTACTAGCAGCTCAGGATTATAGCTCCCAGAGAAAGCGCACAGAAAGAGAGGATGCCACACTTGCAGAAGAATTTTTGTTGCCCATGGACTAGAAGAGTCCCAGCAGAGGGGCCCCACAGGTCGCCAGTGCGACTCTTGCGGCCGACGTGGCAGTTTCGCCAGCGCTTCAGTGCGGCGGTTCTCGATGCAGAATACCCCTTTTGATCGACGTTTGGAGCTCCGGGAAGGCAGAGTAGCCCATTTACCTGATTGAAAAAGGGATTCAAGAGGGAAGCCAGACCGGAAGTTCCTGGGCAGAAAAGCACCACGAATCTTAATGCCGCTATTTTAGCCAGCGCAGTGGGTTGCTCAGATTTTGGCGCTGGGAATCAACAAGTTGGATGTCCACTCAGAGACCTAATTTGAAAGTTGGCAATCACAAAGACAACAGGTGGATAAACTCATAAAGATGGGAAGAAACCAGCGTAAAAAGGTTGAGAATACCCAGAATCAGAATGCCTCTCCTTCTACAGGGGATCACAGTTCCTCATCAACAAGGGAACAAGGCCTGATGGAGAACGAGTGCATTCCATTAACAGATTTAGGCTTTAGAAGGTGGATAATAAGGAACTTTTGTGAGCTAAAAGAACATGTTCTAACCCAATGTAAAGAAACTAAGAACTTGGAAAAAAGGTTTGACGAAATGCTAATGAGAATAGACAATTTAGAAACGAAAATAAGTGAATTAATGGAACTGAAGAATACAATATGAGAACTTCGCGAAGTATGCACAGGTTTTAACAGTCGAATTGATCAAGCAGAAGAAAGGATATCAGAGGTCGAAGACCTACTTAATGAAATGAAACGAGAAGACAAGATTCAAGAAGAAAGAGTAAAAAGGAATGAGCAAAGTCTCCAAGAAATATGGGACTATGTGAAAAGACCTAACTTACGACTGATAGGTGTACCTGAATGTCATGAAGAGAATGAATCCAAGTTGGAAAATATTCTTCAGGATATTATTCAGGAAAACTTTCCTAACCTAGTAAAGCAGGACAATACTCAACTCCAAGTAATTCAGAGAACACCACAAAGATATTCCTCAAGTAGAACAACTCCAAGACACATAATCGCTAGATTCACTAGGGTTGAAATAAAGGAGAAAATTCTGAGGGCAGCTAGAGAGAAAGGTCAGGTTACTCATAAAGGGAAGCCTATCAGACTTACAGATAGGCTCCTGAAGACCTCTCAGCAGAAACCCTACAATCTAGAAGAGAGTGGGGGTCAATATTCAATATCCTCAAAGAAAAGAATTTTCAACCCAGAATCTCATATCCAGCCAAACTAAGCTTCATAAATGAAGGAAAAATAAAATTTGTCACTAACAAACCAAGCACTCAGAGATTTCATCACCACCAGGCCTGCTTTACAAGACCTTCTGAAAGAAGCACTACAAACAGAAAGGAACAACCGGTATCAGTCATCACCAAAATTTACCAAAACGTAAAGAGTATCTCCATAATGAAGAATTTACATCAACTAATGGGCAAAATAGCCAGCTAGCATTAAATTATAATATTGAACTCACAAATATTAATATTAATCCTAAATTTAAATGCATTCAATGTCCCAGTAAAAGACACAGGCAAATGGAATAAAAAGTTAAAATCTATTGGTACGTTGTATCCAGATCTAACTCACAAGGACACACAAAGACTCAAAGGGATGGAGGAAGATTTACCAATTAAATGGAGAGCAAAAACAAAAAACAAAAAAACAGGAGTTGTAACTTTTGTCTCCCACAAAATAGACCTTAATAGTAACAAAGACCAAAAGAAACAAAGAAGGACATATAATGGTAAAAGGATCAGGCAACAACAGGAGTTAATGATCATAAATATATACGTACCCAATATAGGAGTACCCACATACATAAGACAAGTTCTTATTGACTTAAAAAGAGATTTGGACTCCCACACAATAATAGCGGGAGATTTTGACATCACATTGTTAATATTCGATGGATCAATCAGATAGAAAATTAATAGGGACATCTATGATTTGAATTTAGACCTGGAATAAGTAAACTCAGGGAATATTTATAGAATTCTCCACCCCAGGTCTACAGAACATACATTTTTCTCAGTATCATATTACACCTATTCTGAAAGTGACTACATAATTGGAAGTAAATTACTCTTCAGTATTTACACAGCATCTCACAGACTTAAATGAAATATTGGTTGGCTGTTTGTTATTTTCTTTTTTTTTTTTTTTTGAGACAGAGTTTCACTCTTGTTACCCAGGCTGGAGTGCAATGGCGCGATCTCGGCTCACCGCAACCTCCGCCTCCTGGGTTCAGGCAATTCTCCTGCCTCAGCCTCCTGAGTAGCTGGGATTACAGGCACGCGCCACCATGCCCAGCTAATTTTTTGTATTTTTAGTATAGACGGGGTTTCACCATGTTGACCAGGATGGTCTCGATCTCTTGACCTCGTGATCCACCCGCCTCGGCCTTCCAAAGTGCTGGGATTACAGGCTTGAGCCACTGCGCCTGGCCATGTTATTTTCTTCCCTTATTCCTTCCTGTCTCTGTTGTTAAGTACAATTATTGGCATAAAAGAGGTTTTTAATACCTTTTTAAGATTGCATTCCAGCCTAGGCAATAAAGCAGGAATCCTGTTCTCTCTCCCCCTTTTTCTTTCTCCTTGTTTCTTTCAACAACAACAACAACAAAAATACAAAAATTAGCTGAGCATGGTGGTGCACACCTGTAGTCCCAGCTACTTGGGAGGCTGAGGCAGGAGAATCCCTTGAACCCGGGAGGCAGAGGTTGCAGTGAGCCGAGAGCATGCCACTGCACTCCATCCTGGGTGACAGAGTAAGGCCCCATCTCAAAAACATAAAATAAAATAAAAATTAAGCCTCTAAACTTCAACTTTTTCTTTCTTTTTTTTTTTGTTAAAGAGACCGTCTCGCTTTGTCACCCAGGCTGTAATGCAGTGATGTGATCATAACTCACACAGCCTCGAACTCCTGGGCTTAAGTGATCCTCCCACTACAGCCTCCAAGTAGCTAGAACTATAGGCACTTGCCACTACACCTGGTTAATTTACAAAGATACATCTCATAATTATGTCATGTCTATTTAAGTGGTATCATTTTTTCTTAGTGGAAACTAAAATAATAGTACACCTTATAAAACATGAACTCTTAAATTAGATGAAATAGGGTACAATAGCTATCTACCGCATCTGCCATACAAAGATGAAGAAACCAAAGTAGTATATTTTTCTAATAATAATAATAGCATTTCATGAACTAAATTCTCACAGTTGCTGTACCAGGAGCTTTATACAACTCATCTGACTTAAGATGTAATCATTATCTTCATTTTACAGACCTTAGAAAAGGACCCTGGGAAAGTTACTTGAATAGAGAAATCAAGTAACCAGCCCAGGGTCACATACCTGGTAAGTGCTGGAATCAGAATGAAAGCCCTGTTCTGTAACTCCAAAGACAAAGAATATAACCAAGTAAGACCAATATCATAACAAAACTCAATGAGCCTTACAAAAAGTTCCACTGCCTACTCTCTTGCTGAGGTATTGTGTGCTAAGTTAATTTCACTATCAAAGATACTCAATACATAATGAGTTGTTACAATTTTTGAACTCAATGACACCATTTCTCTTTCCATGGTACTTAAATGTCAGATGAGGTCTCTACTCCAGTCACAGAACATAAGGTCCACATGAACAAGGATCTTTCCAACTTATGCACTATTCAGGCCCCAGCATCTAAAACATCACTAGGCACACAGTAAGTTCTGAGAAACATTTACTGAAAAAATATTTACTTGTGCCGTTTTACTGTCCTGTATCTTCAAATTTTTCCGAAATTTTCCAAAATGCAAATAAATACAGCATTTACAATTCAAAAATTTTCCTACATTGAAAATGAAGAAAAACACAAAAAAGTGAAAAAGATCTTGATTAAACCTAATACATATATCCTCATTCAAACTAAGAAGACTTTCCTGACTGTCCTACCACCCAACACTCCAACCTCACCTTCTCCCACTCCTTAACTGGCACCCTCTCTATACCGTACACCAAACTCAAAGCTACTCGCTTCTCCACAGACAACCATCGAGCTTTTTCTTACATGGTCATTCACTTTGTCTGGAACGCCCTTCCCCACTTTCTCATCCAGTCCTTGTCATCCTTAACTCAGGATTTGCCAAGAAGCCCTCCTTCGATAGCCAGACTAGCACACACCTTCAGGACCTTTGAACTAACCTAACTACACATCTCCATTCCAAATGGACTATAAGCTTCTTCAGACACAGTAGCCAGACACAAATCACTCAGGTTGAGAAACTGTTAATTCATGCCTCCTCCTTCCCAGGACTCCTCGCCCCCAGTACAAATTCACCAAATGAAAAACACAGATGGAGAAAAAAGCTTAATACGACCAAATGTCAAAATAGTATCATGATGCATAAAAATATAGTTAAGTCATTTTGTGGCTACCAACACTTGCCTCCACAATAAAGGACTCGAAGTGGGTAATCGGCATCTAACTTGGCACTGTTCCTTGGGTCTCCTTTGCAATCAGCCCCGCTGGATTCAGAAATGTCAGCAGCCATTTCACAAATCTGTAAGCAAGGAAAACAACACACGTTCACTATTTTAGAATCAAGACCCCAGAGGAGCAGTATTCCTCTCAATAGAAATCCCCCTCATCCCAAAGCTGTTTCAATTCTGTTGCCGAGTTGGGGGTACAAGCTGCATTCAATTCATAAAATATGAGCAATCCTAGGCACAACATCTCCTCGGTTCACAGGTCTACAGGGAAGCAAGCAGCAAATGGGACCATGAAGGACGGGGCAGAGGGGCTCACTAGTGAAAAAGAGGAAGCAATGGGGAAGGAAAGAAGGGGTGGCTACCCTCGGCAGACACGGAGCAAAAAGGTCTGAGGGTGATCTGGGAGGGATGGAAACTGCAGTAAGAGAGGAGGTTACAAAGGTGCCGAATGGAGAGAGGCTGGAAGCTCCTAGGAACCAGGGTTGGGTCACCGGAGGAGCCCAGAGTGTAGGGTGTGGGGGCAGCTAAACGCCACGGGAGGGGCCTGGGGAGTCAGAAAAGGGCATGGAAGGGGGCGGGCTAGCAGACCCTAAAGAGGATGGGGAGAGAAAACGGGGACAGAATGAAAGAGCACTGAGGGGACAAGAGCGACCAGGTCCGAGGCGAAGAGGCGACCCCGGGAACGCCAGAAGGGGCCCCTGTGGGTGGAGGTGTGGAGACGCCCGGCCCGGCCCCCTTCCGCCAGGCAGCATCTCAGCTTCCCCCATTCTCTCTACGAGCTTCTCAGAAGCTGGAGAAGCACTTGGGGTCGTTACCCAGGCGGTCGCACAGGCCCCGCCGGCTCCGCTCCCGCCGCTATCGCCAGCTGAAGCGACACATGCAACTCGCCTCCCCTAGCCAGGGCCGCCCGAGAGCCCGTCCGCCAGCCGAGCTCCCGCGAGACAATGAGTCTTTATCGCGAGATTCAGGCCGCCGCTGGGCGGATGTCGCGAGAAGCCGGAAGACGGGGCGTGGCCGAGCGGCTGAGAGGCGGGTCGCCGGCAGGCGGTGCTCCTCACCTGTTGGAGAAGATGAATCCTCGAGATGGGCGCGCGGAGGGGAAGGCGACTTGAAAACGCAAGAGAGTGCACCTGAGTCAGAAATGACTCCCTATTAATAAGCCCGAGGATCATCGCCCAGGTGTCTGCAGTGCATCCTGGAGTCCTGACTAACCTCCAGCTACTACATAAGTCACTCCTCTGCGGGGAGATTCCAGCCAAATAGAACGTTTGGTTGCTTTTTTTTTTTTTTCAGGCGGAGTTTCGCTCTTGTTGCCTAGGCTGGAGTGCAATGGCGCGGTCTCGGCTCACCGCAACCTCAGCCTCCCGCGTTCAAGCGATTCTCCTGCCTCAGCTTCCCAACTAGCTGAGATTACAAACATGTGCCACCATGCCTGGCTAATTTTACATTTTTAGTAGAGATGGAGTTTCTCCATGTTGGTCAGGCTGATCTCGAACTCCCGACCTAAGGTGAGCCGCCCGCCTTGGCCTCCCAAAGTGCTGGGATTACAGGCACGAGTCACCACGCCTGGCCGAGAAACTCACTCTCCTTTCCACTTTGCTTTTCCTTTTCCTTTTCTTTTTCCTTTTCCTTTCCTCTTTCCTCCTATCTTCTTTCTTCTTTTTTGACAGGGTCTCAGTCTGTCACTCAGGCCGGATGGAGTGCAGTTGCACAATCACGGCTTACTGCAGTCTCGACCTCCCAAGTAGTTGGGACTACAGCTAATTTTTAAATTTTTTGTAGAGATGGGGGAAGGTCTCCCTATGCTGCCCAAGCTGGTCTTGAACTCCTGGACTCAAGTGCTCCTCCTGCCTCAACCTCACAAAGTGCTGGGATTACAGGCGTGCCCTGCCCAGGGAAACTCTTGAAAAGACCGAATGAATCCTGTCTATGTATTTTTAATTGCCCACAGTCTCACCCCCTAACGATAATTGTTATTACCTTCTATGTTTACCTGTCCTTATATGTGTTCTAAATTGGAGCTCATCTCGGGCTTTCTCAGGAGACTGAAACCTGGTAGACTTAACCACATACCGTGTGTCTTGTTTCATCTTGAGAAAATCTCTTCATATTCAGCCTGAGTCCCACTTGTGAAACGAGAATAACACTACAACACTTGCAGGGATGTGAGGGTTAGGGGAATGATGACCCAAAAATGCCCTATAGATGGCAAATAATTGTTCTTTTCTATTTTGCTTAATTCTTCACTCACATCCATTTTATTTATTTCCCTCCTTCCCCGCCAACTTCATTCACCACTGTTACTACTACCACTTTCATTTTCTGTTTACAACTTATCTGTGTGTGCACTAAACCATGTGGTACAATTTCTTCCACCAGAGATTCACAAATGTGGCCTCCTCCTGACATCTTTCTTAAATAAAAGAGGAAATCCGCCCTTGCAGGAGAGTCAACACTACACTAGTGAAAGAAGAAAAGATCTTGTCTCCACCAAAGAATGTTTGATTATCATAATAGTAGCTTGCATGTATTGACACCCATTCCCCACTATATGCCAGAAACCATGCTCATTTGGAGGAAAAGAGTCCAGCTGAATTCATCTCCCAGAATTTCCTTGGGTTCTTACTCTGTACCAGGCACTGTGCTAGGCACCAGGAATACTACAGTGAGCCAAAGAGATAAAGTTCCCATTCTCACTAAGGTTAACAGTCTTAGACATACTAGCTGACTTAATCCTTACAAAACCCCTGTGAAGGGCCAGGTGCTGTGGCTCATGTCTGTATTCCCAGCACTTTGGGAGGCAAGGTGGGATTGTTTCAGTCCAGAAGTCTGAGACCAGCCTGGGCAACATAGGGAGAACCTAACTCTACAAAAACAGAAAAGGAAGGGAGGGAGGGACGGAGGGGAGGGAAAAGAAAGAAAGAAAACAAAGAAAGGGAAGAAAGAAAGAAAGAGAAATACCTGAGTGTGGTGGTGCACACCTGTGGACCCAGCTACTCAGGAGGCTGAGGTGGGAGGATCACTTGAGTCCAGGAGGTCAAGGCTACAATGAGCTATGATGGTGCCACTGCACTCCAGCCTGGACAACAGAATGAGACCTTGTCTCAGAAAGAAACAAAAACAAAATAAAAACCCTGTGAAGTAGGCATAACTGTCCCTAATTTCCAGATGTTGAAATCAAGGCTCAAAGGGGGACATGAATTAGGTTCACATGTGCTTAAGATCACACAGCAAATAGTTTTATTGACCTTAAGGTGCATATTTTTCACATTTCAACATCTCTCTCTCTCTCTTTTAATTGAGATGGAGTTTCGCTCTTGTCGCCCAGGATGGAGTACAATAGCACACTTTCAGCTCACCCCAAACTGCACCTCCTGGGTTCAAGTGATTCTCCTGCCTCAGCCTCCTGAGTAGCTGGGATTAAAGGCGTGCACCACCACACCTGGCTAATTTTGAATTTTTGGTGGAGACTGGGTTTCTCCATGTTGATCAGGCTGGTCTCAAACTCCTGACCTCAGGTGATCCACGCGCCTGGGTCTCCCAAAGTGCTGGGATTATAGGCGTGAGCCACCGTGCCAGCCATCAACATCTCTTTGTTGTTGCATTGCAATGGATAGAATCTTAGCATGGTGTCCTATTCTAGTTGGCAGCAATTCTCTTAATAATGCACAAATTATGGTGCATCTAACTAACAATGACATCTTGGATGTGATGAAATATGGATGGGTGGTCAGTCCTGCGTAATAGACCAATGTCTTCAGTTTCACTCGTCAAGCTTTTCCTGCCCTACTTTGTATGGCAAGGTTGCTGACCTCTGTAGACTGCTGCTTCAAGCTTCCTTGTTCCTAGCTTCTAGCTATGATCAGCCAATGGGAGGCAGCCATGGCAGCTGGCCTTCTTGCCATCTACCCCTCCTCACCCCTCGATCGGCATTTCTGGCAGTAACTAGGTCTCCCTCTGAATTGTTAGAGGATCACCGTCCCTGGACTCCTAAAACATAGCACATTCCCGGGATCTAGTCTCTAGCCTAGGGGTGGTGATGGCTTCCTGCTGTTGCTAATCTCTGCATTGTCTCACCACCTGTTTAGCTTTTCAACAGTTCCATTCTTGTGCAACCAATTCCCTGCCTTAAATTCTTTGTTTTACATACTGGGATGGGGTTCTGTTTTCTGGGTGGACTCTACCTGACACAAGTGGCATTTAAATCCAGATTGCAGCTCCTCTAGATGCAAACCTTGCATTTCCTATCGCACTCCACAGTCTTTCAGCTCTCAGGTACTAAAAGCAGGAATGATGTATGAAAAAAAGAAACATCCCAGTGGTCACGGACTCTTGGGAGAGGCAGTGGAATTATTGCAAAGGATACAGGGATCCACTTGTGCACCAAGTAGATTGATTAAATATCTTTCAGACGTACTATTATTTTCTAGTGTAAGTTACAGTTTTGGTGCAATGAAAATCCAAGTTGAATCTGATTAGCCTGGCTTGAGTTATATCCATTCCTAAATTAACCAACCTGACTAATCAAGCCCTGAGTCAAGTGTCCGTCCTTGGACCTGAGTTTGGAGACTGGTGAGAGGATATGTGCCAGAAGAAAATTGAGATACTGTTACCAGAAAAGAGAGTGATGCTAAGATATCGAAAACAACAGATGTGCACTACAGGAAGACTCATAATCACATGTGCTAAAAATTATTAAATAATCTAGCACCCTTAACACATCAAGTGGGTATGTAGTGAGGCCAATTTTCTTACTAACAGAATTCCATTTTACTTGACGCAGTGTGTCCAGCTGAAGATGTTCAATTTCCCAGCTTCCCTTGCAACAAAAGGGCAGAGTCTTGTCAAGGAGCCATAGGTAGAAGTTCCTGAGAAGGGCATCCCTTTCATCAGGAAGCACTGCGAAAGATTTTGAAATAGGCAAAAAAGGGTACTGGCTGTCCTTCTAGCACATCCCTTAGTGCCATCTCCATCTTTCACTGTCTTTTAGCTATTTTACAAAATTTTTTTTTTTGCGAGATGGAGTCTCACTCTGTTGCTCAGGCCGGAGTGCAGTGGCACCATCTCGGTTCACTGCAACCTCCACCTCTTGGGTTCAAGCAATTCTTCTGCCTCAGCCTGCTGAGTAGCTGGGATTACAGTCATGCACCACCACACCTGGCTAATTTTTGTATTTTTAGTTAGTAGAGATGGAGTTTTATTGTGTTGGCCAGACTAGTATCAAACTCCTGACTCAGGTGATCTGCCCGCCTCAGCCTCCCAAAATGTTGGGATTATAGGTGAGAGCAACCACACCTCGCCCCATTTTACAATTTTAAAAGTTGTAGAAAACTGATAGTAATGCAAACACTTCTTTTCCGTAGAAATGCAAATGATTGCATCTAGAGGAGCTGCAATTAATTCTCTGTTGATATTGACTAGTTTCCCAGTCATTTGGAAATTCATCGCCACATTCCTGATTGCTTATGTATGCATATATATCAATATGATTCTCTATGTGTATAGACTTTTTTTTTTTTTT